AATCATTAAATTGTAAAAAATTTATGTAATTTTGAATTATTGCTCTTAATATAATGTAGGAGTTATAACTTTAATTTCTTATATATTGTGAAATGTATTAAGAATTAGAATATATTTTAATTAAGGAATTAATTGTTGTTTTTTCATTTTTATTTGTTGAAAAAAAAAAACCTAATAAACCTTCAAAGTAAACTGAAATGACATAGGTATACCAAATGTCCTTATATACCAATTTTCCTTATAAATCAATTTTCCCTATATACCATTTTTTTATATGCCAAATGTGCCATCCAAATATAACAAATATGCCATCACCGTCACCATCTCCATCATCTCCATCATCCCCATCACCCCCATCACCCCCATCATCCCCATCATCCCAATCATCTCCATCATCTCCATCATCTCCATCATCTCCATCATCCACATCACCCCCATCATCCCCATCACCCCATCATCTCCATCACCTCCATCATCCCCATCACCCCAATCATCCACATCTCCTCCATCATCCCCATCATCCCCATCACCCCCGTCATCCCCATCATCTCCATCACCCCCATTACCCCCTTCATCCCCATCATCTCCATCATCTCCATAATCCCCATCATCTTCATGAGCCCCTTCATCCCCATCACCCCCATCATCTCCATCATCTCCATCATCCCCATCATCCACATCACCCCCATCACCCCCATCATCCCCATCATCCCAATCATCTCCATCATCTCCATCATCTCCATCATCTCCATCATCCACATCACCCCCATCATCCCCATCACCCCATCATCTCCATCACCTCCATCATCCCCATCACCCCAATCATCCACATCTCCTCCATCATCCCCATCATCCCCATCACCCCCGTCATCCCCATCATCTCCATCACCCCCATTACCCCCTTCATCCCCATCATCTCCATCATCTCCATAATCCCCATCATCTTCATGAGCCCCTTCATCCCCATCACCCCCATCATCTCCATCATCTCCATCATCCCCATCATCCACATCACCCCCATTACCCTCTTTATCCCCATCAACCCCATCATCCCTATCATCCCCATCACCCCCATCATATCCATCATCTCCATCATCCCCTTTATCCCCATCACCCCCAACATCCCCATCATATCCATCAACCCCATGGTCTCCATTATCTCCATCACCCTGTCAATCCTCATCACCCCCATCATCTCCATCATCCCCATCACCCCCATCATCTTCATCATCTCCATCATCCACATCATCCCCATCGTCTCCATCATCCACATCACCCCCTCATCCCCATCATCTCCATCACACCCATCATCCCCATCATCTTTATCATCTCCATCATCCACATCATCCACATCATCCCCATCACACGCTTTATCCCCATCACCCCCAACATCCACATCACCCCCATCATCCCCATCACCCCCATCATGCCCATCATACCCATACACCCCATCATCCTCATCATCTCCATCAGCTCGATCATCTCCATCATCTCCATCATCCCCATCACCCCCTTCATCACCATCATCTCCATCATCTCCATCAGCCCTATCACCCCCTTCATTCCCCTCATCTCCATCATCCCCATCATCCCCTTCATCTTCATCATCTCCATCATCCACACCATCCACATCATCCCCATCGTCTCCATCATCCACATCACCCCCCTCATACCCATCATCTCCATCACACCCATCATATCCATCATCCCCATCATCCCCTTTATCCCCATCACCCCCAACATCCACATCAACCCAATCATCCCCATCATCCCCATCAAATCCATCATCTCCATCATTCCTATCATCCCCATTACACCCATCATCCCCATCATCCCCATCACCCCCTTCATCCCCATCATCTCCCTCATCCCCATCATCCACATCACCCCCATAACTCCCTTTATCCCCATCAACCCAATCATCCCTATCATCCCCATCACCCCCATCATATCCATCATCCCCATCACACCTGTCATCCCCATCATCTCCACCATCCCCATCATCCCCATCACCCCCTTCATCCCCATCACCCTCTTCATCCCCATCACCCCTATCATCCCTTATCAGTTTTTTTTCGGGTTATTAATACTTAATAGTGACTTCCGGCAGAAAAGTAATTTTTACTGATTTAAACACTGTCATTCTTATATCTAATATATAAAATTCTCGTGTCACAGTTTTCGTGCCCATACTCCTCCGAAACAACCTGACCGATTTTGATGAAATTTTTTGTGCTTATTCGGTAGCTATGAGAATCGGCCAACATCTATTTTTCATCCCCCTAAATGTTAGGGGTAGTCCACCCCTAAATTTTTTATTTTTATTTTTTTGACAAAATTTTTAATTACTATTTTTTTATGATACAACGTACAAAAATACATACAATCCTAAATTTTCACCCTTCTACGATCAACCCTTATTTTTTAATAGCTATTTTAGTAATTTAATCATTTTTCATCTCCGGTCGATAACTGATCAATCGTCATTTAATAAGTTATCCCCGCCAGATATCTACAGGTGTCACTTCTGACCCAGTAAACAGCACGGAGTAGGGATGAGAACGAAGCCGGTCTTCTGTTTCTCTCACACAATTAGACTTCTCTCACTCCCTACACAGTTGTCGGCCATCGTTATTGTTTGTGCATCAAGTGTAGTAGTAACGTTGACAATTATTATTTTGCTAGCTCAGTGTAACTCTCATATTAACTATTAATCATTCCTAATCACTTCAAAACACGGAGATTTATGGCTTTAATAGGTAAACTCCAAAAATATAAATAAAAAAACGTAACAGATATTTCTTGATTATAGGGCGAAACGAAGTTCGCCGGGTCTTCTAGTTACATATAAAACTATAAACAACTTTTTTTCGGTTTGTAGTTATCCAGTGAAATTATAATCTCTGCATATTTAGAACACTTTGTGTTTGTTTTACCTATGTCAAGAAGTGACACAAGTAGTTATATTGCGATACTGTTTGTAGGCACTTTTCTTTATTTAGATAAAAAAGGTAATAAAGACCGCACATTATAAATCGATCAAATCTATATACCATGTAAGTATATAAAAATGTTAAGATGACTTGTATACCTATTTCATTATATTCAATTTAATCTTTTTTTTTAAATTTTTAATTATGAGCACCAATTTCTCAAGTAAAATAATAATAATGTAAAATATTATCTATATATATATAATATAATTGATTATTTATATTTTTTTTATATTAGTAGTATGTTTTGTGTGCCTATAACTACTTGGGAAGTTGCTTACTTTAGATACTTAAATATAGAGTTGGTACAGCATTTTGAGTAATTCGTGTACTAGAAGAACGGTAAAAATCATTAAATTGTAAAAATTTTATGTAATTTTAAATCATTGCTCTTAATATAATGTAGGAGTTATAACTTTAATTTCTTATATATTGTGAAATGTATTAAGACTTCGAATATATTTTAATTAAGGAATTAATTGTTGTTTTTTCATTTTTATTTGTTGAAAAAAAAAACCTAATAAACCTTCAAAGTAAACTGAAATGACGGAGGTATACCAAATGTCCTTATATACCAATTTTCCTTATAAATCAAAGGTCTTTATATACCAATTTTCCTTATATACCAATTTTCCCTATATACCATTTTATTTATATGCCAAATGTGCCATCCAAATAAAACAAATATGCCATCACCGTCACCATCTCCATCATCTCCATCATCCCCATCACCCCCATCATCCCCATCACCCCTTCATTCCATCATCTCCATCATCCCCATCACACCCATCATCCTCATCACACACACATTCCCCTTACCCCATCATCATCAACCCCATCATCCCCATCACCCCAATCATCCACATCTCCTCCATCATCCCCATCATCCACATCACCCCCATCTTCCCTACACCCCCATCATCCCAATCATCTCCATCACACCCATCATCTCCTTCACCCCCTTCATCCCCATCACCCCCATCATCCCCATCATCCCTATCATCTCCATCATCTCCATCATCCCCATCACCTCCATCATCTCGATCATCTCCATCATCTCCATCATCCCCATCACACCCATCATCTCCTTCACCCCCTTCACCCCCTTCATCCCATCACCCCCATCATCCCCATCATCCCTATCATCTCCATCATCTCCATCAACTCCATCATCCCCATAATCCCCATCACCCCCATAATCTCCATCATCTCCATCACCCCCTTCACCCCCATCACCCCAATCATCCCCATCATCTCCATCATCTCCATCACCCTCTTCATCCCCATCACCCCCATCATCCTCATCATCTCCATCAGCTCGATCATCTCCATTATCTCCATCATCCCCATCACAATCATCATCTCCTTCACCCCCTTCATCCCTATACACCCCACCATCCATATCATCCCTATCATCTCAATCATCTCCATCATCCCCATCATCTCCATCATCTCGATAATCTCCATCATCCCCATCACACCCATCATTCTCTTCACCCCCTTCATCCCCATCACCCCCATCATCCCCATCATCCCTATCATCTCCATCAACTCCATCATCTCTATCATCCACATCATCCACATCATAGCCATCACACGCTTTATCCCCATCACCCCCAACATCCACATCACCCCCATCATCCCTATCACCCCCATCATGCCCATCATACCCATACACCCCATCATCCTCATCATCTCCATCAGCTCGATCATCTCCATCATCTCCATCATCCCCATCACCCCCTTCATCACCATCATCTCCATCATCCCCATCAGCCCTATCACCCCCTTCATTCCCATCATCTCCATCATCCCCATCACCCCCTTCATCTTCATCATCTCCATCATCCATATCATCCCCATCGTCTCCATCATCCACATCACCCCCCTCATCCCCATCATCTCCATCACACCCATCATCCCCATCATCTTTATCATCTCCATCATCCACATCATCCACATCATTCCCATCACACGCTTTATCCCCATCACCCCCAACATCTACATCACCCCCATCATCCCCATCACCCCCATCATCCCCATCATCCCCATCACCCCCTTCATCCCCATCATCTCCATCATCCCCATCACACCAATCATTTCCATCATCTCCATCACCCCCTTCATCCCCATCACCCTCTTCATCCCCATCACCCCTATCATCCCTTATCAGTTTTTTTCGGGTTATTAATACTTAATAGTGACTTCCGGCAGAAAAGTAATTTTTACTGATTTAAACACTGTCATTCTTATATTACATAAAAACAATAAACTACTTTTTTTTGGTTTGTAGTTATCCAGTGAAATTATAATCTCTGCATATTTAGAACACTTTGTGTTTGTTTTACCTATGTCAAGAAGTGACACAAGTAGTTATATTGCGATACTGTTTGTAGGCACTTTTCTTTATTTAGATAAAAAAGGTAATAAAGACCGCTCATTATAAATCGATCAAATCTATATACCATGTAAGTATACAGGGTGACTGGTGAGTTACTATCAATATTTAAGGAGCATACTCGGTACATGATTCTCATTCGAATTATGTAAAAAAAATAGGTACTTAATTTTTGACCAAATTTCCGTATAAATAAATAAAGTTTGGATACGTACTCATCCTTGCCGGCGCCAGTGTGTCGCTACTCCCCAACCCCCGCCCCGTGGCTAGCGGGCCATTAGTCGGCTATTAGTCGCGCGAGCGCCGCCGTAAGGTCCGTACGTTCGTCTTCCCGCGCGCGCGCGCCTAGCGATCGATCTTACGCGTATACCTAATAATAATCTGTCGTGTGTGCGTGTGACCCGTTATTACTTATTAGTAATTAAATATGGCTTTTCAATACACAAATGCAGAATACTTGGACATGGTTTATGCGTATGCGCGTGCAAATGAAAGCTTGCGGGGCGCAATCAATTTGTACCGGGAGATGTTCCCCAATCGTCGAGTACCTACGGCCAGCGTCATCTTAAACGCTAATCAAAGATTACGAGACTTCGGACAGTTCCGTGTTCCAACACATGCCCAAGGAAACGTCTTGTGTATGCTACAATGTATGTCAACAGAGAGGAGTTGAAATTAAAAATCAATAGTGCTTTCGAAACTATTAAAAGTGACCCATTCGTATTAAATCGTGTGAAAGACAATATGTGTAAACGTGCCGAACTGTGTATCACACGAGAAGGAGCTCGCTTTGAACATTTGTTAAGGTTAGTGTAGTTATGTAGGTAAATAGGTAGTTTAATGATTGACAATTGTTGTAAATAAGAATGATTCCATTTTTAAATACGCCGGAAATACCAAGATAGGTAAACAGTTCATATTATTTTTCGTGTCAAGGTCACACCATTTACCTAGTCAATAAATTGGTTGCTTAAACGAAAGAAATATCTTGGTATTTTTGCCTGTCCTAAGCCAGGATTAAAGTATGAAGGGAATTGGATCATTTTTGTTTATCTAAGGTCTAACACGCGGCGGCGCGCGGCGTTTGGATGTAGATAAACTACCGCGCGATAACTACATATACCTACGTACATAACTGTTTTGTGTCGATAACGCAGCTAGGGTATCCACGCGATCCGTAATTAATTACATAACTTTTGGTTAACTTTACTTAGAAGTTTATTAATATTTATGTTATATTAATTTTTATTTTGTCATATATGATCGTCAACTACCACGTCCTTAAATATTGATAGTAACTCACCAGTCACCCTGTATAAAAATGTTAAGATGACTTGTATACCTATTTCATTATATTCAATTTAATCATTTTTTTTTAATTTTTAATTATGAGCACCAATTTCTAAAGTAAAATAATAATAATGTAAAATATTATCTATATTTATAAAATATAATTGATTATTTATATTTTTTTTATATTAGTAGTATGTATTGTGTGCCTATAACTACTTGGGAAGTTGCTTACTTTAGATACTTAAGTATAGAGTTGGTACAGCATTTTGAGCAATTCCTGTACTAGAAGAACGGTAAAAATCATTAAATTGTAAAAATTTTATGTAATTTTAAATCATTGCTCTTAATATAATGTAGGAGTTATAACTTTAATTTCTTATATATTGTGAAATGTATTAAGAATTAGAATATATTTTAATTAAGGAATTAATTGTTGTTTTTTTCATTTTTATTTGTTGAAAAAAAAAAAAAAAACCTAATAAACCTTCAAAGTAAACTGAAATGACGGAGGTATACCAAATGTCCTTATATACCAATTTTCCTTATAAATCAAAGGTCTTTATATACCAATTTTCCCTATATACCATGTTTTTATATGCCAAATGTGCCATCCAAATATAACAAATATGCCATTACCGTCACCATCTCCATCATCTCCATCATCCCCATCACCCCCATCATCCCCATCATCCCAATCATCTCCATCATCTCCATCATCTCCATCATCTCCATCATCCTCATCACACCCATCATCCTCATCAGACACATCATTCCCCTCATCATCAACCCCATCATCCCCATCACCCCAATCATCCACATCTCCTCCATCATCCCCATCATCCACATCACCCCATCTTCCCTACACCCCCATCATCCCAATCATCTCCATCATCTCCATCATCCCCATCATCTCCATAATCTCCATCATCCACATCATCCCCATCTCCCCATTCATGCCCATCATCCCCATAATCTCCATCATCTCATCACATCCATCATCCTCATCATCCACATCATTCCCCTCATCCCCATCATCATCATCTCCATCACCCCCATCATCCAAATCAACCCCATCACCCCAATCATCCACATCTTCTCCAACATCCACATCATCCCCCTCATCCCCATCAACTCCATCAGACCCATCATCCCCATCATCTTTATCATCTTTATCATCTCCATCATCCACATCATCCACATCATCTCCATCATCTCCATCATCCCCAACACACCCATCATCCCCATCACCCCCGTCATCCCCATCATCTCCATCATCCTCATTACCCCCTTCATCCCCATCATCTCTATCATCTCCATCATCTCCATCACCCCCATCATCCCCATCACCCCCATCAACCCCGTCATCTCCATCATCTCCTTCACCCCCTTCATTCCCATCACCCCCATCATCCCTATGATCTCCATCATCCCCATAATCCTCATCATCTCCATCATCCCCATCATCCACATCACCCCCATAACCCTCTTTATCACCATCAACCCCATCATCCCTATCTTTCCCATCACCCCCATCATATCCATCATCCCCATCATCCCCTTTATCCCCATCACCCCCAACATCCCCATCATCTCCATCATCTCTATCATCTCCATCAACTCCATCATCTCCATGAGCCCCTTCATCCCCATCACCCCCATCATCTCCATCATTCCCATCATCCACATCGCCCCCATAACCCTCTTTATCCCCATCATCCCCATCATCCACATCACCCCATAACCCTCTTTATCCCTATCATCCCCATCACCCCCATCATATCCATCATCCCCATCATCCCCTTTATCCCCATCACCCCCAACATCCCCATCACCGCCATCATCCCCATTATCCCTATCATCTCCATCATCCCCATCATCCCCATAATCCCTATCACCCCCATCATCTCCATCATCTCCATCACCCCCTTCACCCCCATCACCCCAATCATCCCCATCATCTCCATCATCTCCATCAGCCCCTTCATCCCCATCACACCCATCATCTCCATTATCTCCATCATCCCCATCATCCCCATCATCCACATCACCCCCATAACCCCCTTTATCCCCATCAACCCAATCAACCCTATCATCCCCATCACCCCCATCATATCCATCATCCCCATAATCCCCTTTATCCCCATCACCCCCAACATCCATATCACCCCAATCATCCCCATCATCTCCATCATCTCCATCATCCCCATCACCCTCATCATCCCCATCAACCCCATCATCCCCATCACCCTCATCATCCCCATCATCCCCATCATCCCCATCATCCCTATCATCTCCATCATCTCCATCAACTCCATCATCCCCCTAATCCCCCTAATCCCCATCACCCCCATCATCTCCATCATCCCCATCACCCCCATCATCTTCATCATCTCCATCATCCTCCTCACCCCCATCAACCCCGTCATCCCCATGATCTCCATTATCTCCATCAACCTCTCAATCCTCATCACCCCCATCATCTCCATCATCCCCATAACCCCCATCATCTTCATCATCTCCATTGTCCACATCATCCACATCATCCCCATCGTCTCCATCATCCACATCAACCCCCTCATCCCCATCATCTCCATCACACCCATCATCCCTATCATCTCCATCACACCCATCATCCCCATCATCTTTATCATCTCCATCATCCACATCATCCCCATCATCTCCATCATCCCCATCACACCCATCATCGCCATCATCCCCATTACCCCCTTCATCCCCATTATCTCCATCATCTCCATCACCCCCATCATCCCCCTCACCCCCATCATTCCCGTCACCCCCTTCATCCACGTCATCCCCATCACCTCCATCATCTCCATCACTCCCTTCATCCCCATCACCCCTATCATCCCCATCATCCCCATCAACCCCATCTGTCAAAAAAAAGAGAAATGTCTTCGTTTTTTTTTTTGATTATTTTAAGAGTGAATGTCTTGTTCATAGTTCTGTGCCTCTCCCCTTATTACATGTTTGAAAAGATATACGGCGGAAGGAACGTTTCAAGATTTTCATAAAAATCATAAAAAATATCAACTTTACACATTTGTTCAAATTATGTGTGCTACAATAGTCGTTTGAGTCAGATGGAAATATTTTTATGAGTGTGTGAGGGCAACAGAAAGTAAGAACAGTTTTATTGTGAAAATATGACAACACCCGATCTTAATGTAAACGTTAGTAGAGACAAAGACATCCTGCTCCCTCAGCACCATTATGAATAAATAAACTGTTTAATAGGAATTAGATTACGATAATTAATATATAATAAAACAACGTGTGTCAACTGAAGATCGACAGAAGAATGATTTATTGAACATAGACAAATACAATAACGCTTATTGACATGATTGCCACAAGATGGCTAGTTGTATCCATATTTTGATATCCACAACACTTCCCATTAAAATATGATCTATTTTAAACTATATAAATACTTAACATGAACTTAAAGTTAAAATATATTACACTCTAACAATTCCTAAAGCATTTACATGTTTATAATGTTTTACAACACTTAAGCTTTTGGTAAATAAATCTGCAGGCATATCAGATATACACAAATAATTAATACTAACAATGTTTTTATTTATAATATCTCAGCAATAGTGATACCTGACATCCATATGTTTAGTTTTATTATGGAATACTGGGTTCAGTTATAATTTCTGAGCACTCATACTGTCATTATACGAGTACAAAATAATAGTATACATTCTACAAGTCACTTCATTTTGTAAGTTTCTCAAATACACTGCTTCTTTGCAGGCTTCTGATTTTGACACATTTTCAGCTACAGTACTAGAAAGTGAAATACATTTTTGATTGCTACCATTCCAGGATATAACTGATCCTGACAAAATATAACAAAACCCTGAATATGATTTACTGTCATTAACATCACTGCTCCAGTCCTTATATCATTATAACATATCTTCTACCTGGCAATTTCCCAGCTATAGCCAGGGTCTGCCTATATCATTATAACATATCATTATAACATATCTTTCCTTATAACATATCCTTCAATATTATCATTTTTATTCTTACTACATTTCAAACCAAATTTTATGTTTTCTTTAAGTATATATAATATTCTTTTAGCATAAACCCAAAGCTCTTCACTAATACAGTTATTGAATTGTATTAGGTAGGATCTTCAAACTGCCTATAAGTTGTTGATAAGGATTCTGACTATTTATTTATTTAGGCACACAAACAGAATATAATCCGGATTACATTTGAGTTACAGTCTAAAATTATATTTAGCTTGATTATATTCCCAAGCATGTGTACACTTCATAATCATTACAAAACCAATATTTTTGTCAGGAGCTACATTATTTAGGTACAATTTAAGACTAATGAATAAATAGGAACATATAACTTAAATTCAATTACTTAGTTGTTGATACAAAAAAAACATTAACGGACATTACAAATTAGTTTAAATTACATTCACTGAGTCAACAATAATATAAATAGGAGCAAAAGAGACAGATACAGTCAATTAAGATTGTGTAAAAAGTATAATTAAAAAATAAAATAAAATTAAAGAATTAAATTAAAAAATTATAATAATAAATAAATTGTCAAAATTAAAATATAATTCAATAACAACTACATGGCAATAAACATAAGAAAAAAAAGTCATTGGAGAGTAAATCATTGAATCGTCAATATAATAAGCCTTACCCTATTTTTAAGCCTTGTAAAATTGGGATCAAATATATCTAACATGTCACTGTGTTTTGAAAGTAAATCATTGTATGTACGGCAGAGTCTAATGATAGGGTTATAATATGATGTATTACTAATGTGAACGCTGAGGACGAAGGTATTCAAATGTGGATGTTGAGATCTAAATTTGATGTTAAAATTAATGATTGATAATAAGGCAGATAGGTCGATTCTAGAATGAATTATTTTGTGCCATGCATAAAGTTCAATTCACATATGTCTTTATTTTAGTGTGAGCATATTAAAATAGTAAAATTCTATCTTTGTAACAGTTCATCTTATTTTGCAATCCAAATCTGCGGCACAAGAAGAAAATAAACCTTTTTTGAACATGTTTGATATTGTCACTGTGGGTGGAATAGAAAGGCGACCATATTGTTAAGTTGTACTCTAAGGTCCTACAAATTAAAGACCTATACAGATGAAGAAGGCTACAAGGATTTTTGAAGTTTTTTGCAACTCTTTAAATGAAACCAAGAATTTGAGTGCTCCTCTCAATTAAGTATTCATAATGATCGCAAATTTTTCATCGAAAATGATGCCTAGATCCCTAATTGTTTTTTTTCTTTCAAGACTAATATTGTGTAGACTATATTCAAAATTGATTTTTTGCCTCCTATGGCTAAACGTAATGACATTGGCACTTATTTACATTCAGCAACATATTGTTTTCCCTGCACCACTTATCTACACTATCCAAATCTGATTGTTTTAAAGCATCTTTGACATTATTGACAACAGAATATATCTTAAGATCGTCAGCATATAATAAACAAGGGCATTATTACAAGTATTCACATTTTTATATTTAAAATTTGCCTCCATTAGAGTATTCACTGTTTTACAATCAGTCATGTTCAACTTGGACAATAATTTATCAATATATTTCTCTTGACTCAAAGTAACAGTACAATTTTGTTCATCAAAACTAATTAACATACCAACACATTCCTTTACAATCCCTAAGTCTTTCAACACAAAATTTCACCTAGCATGCTCTTAAGATGATTGGTTTCAGTTTTATTATTTGAAAAAACAAAAAATCTTCAACATACAGTGTCACCATTGTTTTGCTACTGCCAACTGACTTTATATATAAACATGGTTCAATTTTAGATTTGACATAAACACTTGATAACATATAACTATCTACTTTCTTATGTTTTGCATATATAGAGTTTCAGATAGATCACCACTCAAGAAAGCCATTTTCACATCAAGACAAGTCACACTGAGATTCAATTGCACTGATAACACGAATAATAATGTAAGTGTTGTATGACAAACTACGGAAGAAAATGTTTCACTATAGTATACACCATATCTTTCACACCATATCACATTTCTTCTTGAGAACTCATTTGCACTTTACTATATTCCCATTTACAGGAATATCAACTTCTTCCCATGCACTGTTGTCTACAAAGCTTTTCAGCTCTTCTTTGACAGCCTGGTCCCAATGCTCCCTCTCAAGACCTTGTAATGCTTCTTCAAATGTGATTTCAGTGGTGAAATAATTTTTATTCTGTTCTGTGCACATTAATCCCAACCTATCAGGTTGTTTTCTCTGCCGTTGTGGTAATGTCTTTGTCATGGTGCCTGACTTCAACTCCTCGTCAGATGTCACAGAGTCCTCTCCTACTAGATCTGAGACCTCTCCCACTGTAGACGGATATAGCCTGTTCTGTTTGGGTTTGTCATCTACCTCAATCATATTTTCTTCCTTAAATAATTTTTCTTTTATGATGACATCTTGACTGGTTGTAATAGCCCTTGTTGAAGGATTATATAATCTGTACCCCTTAATATCTTCAGGATAACCAACAAGTGTACATTGTTCTGAATTTTTCTATCACTTATATCTTTTCTGCTTGGACATGTATTTCATGACAGTACTACCAAAACCTCTCAAATGACTGAAGTATGGTTTCACCAGATTTTATTATGTTTTGATTTGATTCACCAGATTCGATTTTTGATGTGTAATTAATTCCCCTTTTATTCAAAAATTATCAAAATCTCTGTTACAGAACTCTCTACCATTATCACTTCACAAAATTTTAATTTTATAAGATGTTAAAGTTCCAACTTTTGCTTTATAATCTTTAAAATACTGTAAAGCCTCTTTCTTACTCTTTGGAAAATAAACATATGTCATTCGGCTGTGATCATCAACAGCGATATATTCTCCATCGGCCCACATATATCACAGTGCACAACTTGCAATAGCTCAGTACTCCTGTTCCCTTCATTACTAAAAGGCAAACGACTTTGCTTTCCTTTGTGACACACTATACAACTAGACTTGTTGATATCAGCCTTTTTAGTTAGTTGAATGCCCTCCACAGTATCCTGCATTTTATTCATGTTGTAATTGACATGTCCCAATTTACGATGCCAAACTTCGAAAGACTAATCATCCAATTTTCATTGCTTGTCTAAGTATGAATTTGCGCGGCGCAAGTTGCGCCAGAGTCGACATCCCACTAACTCTTGTAAAATATTCTGTTAAAAAACACATCACTAAACGCATTACTTGTTTTCGCCGATTTGTTTTCAAAAGTCTTGTAAGATTTATCATTATTAGTGCATTGATTACGATAGTGCCCTTGCTGTTTGCAATTATAACATTTGACGTTTGGTTATCCTTTGACGGATGGTGACATTTGTACTGTTCCGCCATTTTTTTCACTATAGACTTTTCACTATACTTCAAATTTTTTGAAACGTTGATTCTTGCGGAAACATGTGAATGAATTATTGGCATCACTGTCTTCCGGTTCCATGTCCATCAACTTTCCTTTAAAGGCATCTGACGTAATTATCTTGCTAGAATGCTCGATGGTCATTATCATGGGCATGTATTTTTCCGTTAAACCAGCCAACACGATAGATCCAATTCATTCGACGTTTATACCAAATCCTTGTAATTTCTAACCAGCTTCTACAATTTGTGATATATAAGACGTCATCGAAGTGCAATTTTCTAATCGAAGAAATATTAGATTTCTCAGAAGACTAATTTTTCTTGTAAATAAAGAGTCATAAAAGCTGAAGGTATAAATGCTGAAAAAAAATTGATTCATTACTGGGAAAACCATAAAAACAGCCCTTTTCTATTTCCCATACAAACGTTTTTTTTA